CTGTAAAACAGCAATTATGCTGAGTCAGGCTTGATTTTTAATAATATTTTCCTGTTAAATAAATAACTCAAATCAAATCAACTGAAATTTCAGCTTCATTCACAAAATTATTGAGTCCGGAAATGAGACCGCGTTGCAAAAAGCAGGTGAAACGAGCTCACCTCTGACACTCCTCTGTGCTTCAGAGAGAGAAAACAGATCCAGGCAGGTGACATGACATGAAAAAAAGGGGGAAAAGTAATCCTGCACCTTAGTAATGATAACGAACCAATGACAGCGTGTGAAATTGGAGGTAGTTTGAGGATTAAATTTTTATGCTTTTTAAGCTCAAAAAAAGGGGGGTCGTATTATACATGAGATCGTATTACACACAAATAAATACGGATACTGTAATTAGTTTTTTTTTCTGGATGCATCTAAATTCCACTTCTAAGAAATGATTCGAAACCTCATGACTGATAATGAAAACATTGTGTCTGAAAAAAAGGTCAGCCTTTTGAGTACATTTGCACTATGCATTGTTTATTAATTAATTTATTTAAAATAGTAAGAACTAAACTAAATTATGCATTKCTGTTTATTTATTTTATTTTAAAATAATCAATTAATAAACAATGCACAGTGTAAATGTACTCAAAAAGCTGACCTTTTTTTCAGACACTGTTTTGATTATCAATAATGAGGTTTTGAATCTTTTTTTAGACGAGGAATTTAGATACATCTAGAAAAAAAAACTAATTACTAATTTGTTCATTAATTAGGGTCAATATTATTTAATTTTCCAAAATATCTACATGTTATTACTTTGTATACTTTATCGGGAATAAAATGTCTACATTCTTTCACATTTCAACATTTTTTCTATGCATTGTTTAAAAATGGTGAAATGGTAACAAACACAAATTTGAATATGAGTATGAATATATTTGTGGCAAAATTTGGAATAATCCTTGTTACYAGAAAATATTTTGTAGTCTTTTTGTTACTGTTATAATACTCATTTAACTTGTATTCAGCAATATACTTTTAGTTTATTTTGCTGAAATTTAWAAGTAAATGCATTTTAAATATAAGCCCAAATAGGTCAGAGTGAAGCTTGTGTGTATCCTTTCATATTTTTCATAAAACTCAAGGGAGAAAAACACAGGCCCATGTTCTGGTCTTGTCCACCCTCCCTGATGTGCTGTAAACAGATTACTGCAACATCAGCAGTTTTTGAACAATACATCCTGCCTGGTGTGAGCTCCACAAAGGGCCAACTTTTAAATGCACTCATTAGAAAGTGGTGCATRTAAAATATGCTGCTTTTTATTAATCTGTTGTCGTAAGAGTAAAATACTCACCCTGAATCTTTAAAAACTATTCACAGCAAGTTTATGTGTTTGCATGTGTGCATAGAAATTTAAATACCAAAGAGTTTAAATTAAAGCTAAAATGTGAAAGTAAGCATTTGATGTTATAATAAAAAGGCAGGTGGTGGTGGTGGTGGGAGTAAGGGAAAAT